TTGAAAATATTAAATTGTAATGTATGTTCATTGTGGAAAAATTGCTAAATGCTTGAACAATGATTACATTACAATCACTTGTACCAGCAACTTGTTAATTAAATACTAATCAAATCAAATCAAATCGGATCAGATCAAATTATTGTAGATTGGATGATTTCTGTTACTATATTAGGAACTAGCAACAACTAGTTAATGAAAATACTAAATCATATTTATGATGTAAATTGTATATTCAGTTGTATATTTACACTTTTATATTCATGCTCTTTTATGTTTATTGCAGAAAAATTGAACAATATAAGTTGAATGATTACATGGACTTACCAATAACTTGTTAACGAAAATGTTAAATTATAATATTTATATACTCATTGTATATCTATTCGTATATGCATTTTTATATTTATGCACCGTATACTTATTATGGAAAAATTGCCAGATACTTGTTAGATGATTTTTCATATTACCAACGATTTGTTTACGGAAATGTTTAATTATAATATTTATTTGTACATATTCACTGTGAACAAAATTTACTTGGACAATGCGATTTTTAGCTTAATGAAATTCGATATTTCTTTCATAATATAAAAAATATGATATCTCTGAAAAATCGTCAGTCTTATTTTAAGATCATTAATATTATTAATATTAATAAAAATTAATATTATTTTATTCCTTATTGTTTATTATTAAACTTGCAATCTAAACCCATTTCTAAACCATTTCATTTTTTTTTTTAGAAACTATTTGCATCTATAATCGAACGTTGCAAGACAAGGCGGCGATATCCCTTGAAAAACAACGTGCACCGTTTGATCGTAAAATTCACTTTGATTCCTTGAAGTGGCTTGAAAATATCCGGATGACGTAACTTTCGCCAAGCAAATCGCTCGCTAATGTACTATTGCAACTATCTATCTCTCTTGTATCGTTGCTCGTGAATAGAGACAGCGAGATCGTTTCTCGAGAATCGCCGCTCGTTGGCGAAGAAGCTGGGAATACCCGGCGTAAACATGAGATTTTGCCCAGAAAATATCGTTAGCTAATATTTGCGGACCGACAGCGCACGCGATTGTGAAGGAACATCCTTTACTACGAACCGTTTATCGTTAATGCGATTAAGTAGACGCGTGATTCATTCCGAAGCAGACGTTAATAACGTTGGCGTATATGAGCCGAGAATTATCGAATTTTCATGGTACACAAGGAAATTCGTTCATCTCTCTGCACTCGATCTGCTTTCGATCTTTCGGATAATTGGAAGTTGTTTTTTTTTCTTTTTTTTTTTTTAATAATCGCACGAACAATGTTGTTCCACTTTATGAATACAATTGTAATAATATTTGTCCGTAATAAAAGCAGTGGTGTTTTGTATCATCCAGCGACTCAAGAAATTCGTTGAATCAAATTAACTTGTTTTAACTTTTATTAAACAAACCAAGTGAAGGGAATTTTAAAAATCGCTGGTAATTTCATTCATGAAATCTGGACACACGTGATCGATCAGAATATGAAGAGCAACGACAAATAAGAATTCTTAGTTTTTTTTGTATAATTGTGTGATAATGCGAATATGAATGAATATCGAAAAATATTTTGTTTCGTTTCGAGTCAAACAATTTTTTAACACTCACTTTCCAAGGTTAAGATTCGTAGAGTTAAACGTATTGTTTTACTTTTTAATAGCAGACTTTTGGATAACAGGCAAACATTAATACAACTAAAATATTTTCCTCGCAATTATTCATGCAGTAACAAAAATGTCAAAATTATCTATAATTCTAATGTAATTTGTAACTTTTCATAGTTGAAAATGAAACATGAAATTTTTTTGGTACGAAAATGCTATTCTACTAGTATGTTATTGTATTGCAAGTGTCATCCAAGTTGTAGTTCAACATTTCCTTGGACAAGTTATATATCAAAGCCATAATATTAAAAAACAAAATTCGTGAAAGTAAATTGATTGAAAACAAAGTTGCAAATGAATTAATCGATTAACTAGAACTGTCTCTTGAATCATTTCAATTTATAAAACAGAATAAACTATTTGAAAAAAAAACCATTTTGACGTGATGTGTTTCACCTTGTGTTCGTTAAACGTAGAGATAATAAATGTTATCTCTACGTTTAACGACTGAGAAAATAATAAATGTTATCTCTACGTTTAACAACTGAGAAAATCGACACTTAAATGGCAAAAGTAGTAAGAATATAAAATGAATGCATTGTTAAAAGTGCAATTATTTGATGAGACTTTGCATAAGTAACGATAAAATTGGTGTTTTATCAAGTTGCTGTCATTGAAAAAAATATGGAACATGAAAACGTTCTTCAAGGAGTACAAATATAAATTAATACAAGATAAATACTTTCACAAGAAGATTACAGTATAAAAGCCACAACATTGTTGATAAGAGTTCAGAAAGTGCAAAATAAATCAGAAAGTACAATATAAAAATCAGAAAATTTTTGATAAAAGTTGTCATGTCTCGCTTTTTCGTAGCGTTCTTGCTTCTTACTATGGTTCTCGTTGCCTGTGAGTACAATATAATTCATATTTAAAAGTTTGAAATATCCTTTGCTCTTTGAACGAAAAATATTTTTTTAAACATAATAAAAATGTTAATATTTATAACCTACCAAAGGTTTCATTTATCTGAACAAAATGAATTAAGACAAAATTTAAAATCACTTATCTACAAAGTTATACCAAAGTTAATGAAAAATTGTCGATAAAATGAGAACAAGTAGATGATTGTACGATCTTTTTCTACGAAACTATATCAGTTTAACTTTTTCATTGTCATTGGCATAGTTATGCTCCTCGTGTAAATGTTGTGTATATAAAAAAAAAAATAACAGATATTAAAAACAATTGATGAATTCATACTTATATAGTGATAGGACAGGAGAAAATTTAAAAAACAAATGACACGAGGTGCTCCATAATTTATGGACAAAAATAATGAATAAATGATTCTTAGTAATGTTGATAAATATTTAGTTTAGATAAGTTTATGTTTTTTGTTTTTTAGAAATATATAAAAATATGTAAATGTAAAATTTTATTCAATAGCCGGCGATGAGTGCCCATTGATAGATTTGAGGTGTGAAGTGCAGTGCGAACCAAAGTGTCCGTCCACATTTTGGTTTCCAATTGGCAACTGCACCAAGACCGTGAGTATTCAAAAATTAAATTAACTATATCAGCTTAATAACAATACAAATAAATCGATTTGCAGAATTGCGGTCCAGTCACTGGTCCAAGCACGGACCCTTGTTCGTGTGGTAAAGGTACTGCTAGAAATCTAGAAACTAACGAATGTGTACCGGTGGAAGACTGTCCCAAATTATAAGTATAATATATTGTTCACAGCTAATAAATGTTACATTGTCAAACGGTAATGGTGCATCAATAAAAAGCTTTCTTTGAGGCGTATTTATACCACATCGATCAACTTCATCATCTGTCACATTTTTCATTTGTATATTCATATTTTGTATAAATGTTTTTTTATATTCGTTACACGCAAAATGCCTCAATAATAAGTTCATGATAATTCAGTTTTGTTTTCAAAACGGTGAAAAGATGTTTGAAACGATAGTGAAAGTTCTTCCAGAGGGAAAAGATAAATAAAGAGTAACATAAAGAAGGGGCGAAGGGAAAAATCAATGTTCCTGCAACACGAAGAAACGTGTCTTAAATGTCAGCGTGGCATCCAACGTCAATGGACCGTTCTACGTGATCGGAATGAAAGGGATGGGCACCACCTTGACACAGACGAACGGCCACGGGGCGCTAACTAACGCCATAATCAAGTAAGCAGTTTAGTCGAGCGATCCGGTTACGTCGACTTAGCCTTCCGTATCGACGAGGCGTCACTGATTGGTTTACAGATCTGCTGAGCCGAACTCAGTCGCTCAAAGGCCTCTCTAGTTAGCCGGAGACTTCCAGAACGAACCACCTTTACCCCCTTCTACCCTTCTACTCACCTCTCTCTCTCTCTCTCTCTCTCTC